GAATCATGCCGACTCCATTGACCGTTGAATATTTCATGACTTGATGCAGAGTCGATGGAATGGCCCGAAGGGAATGGATGATGGGTCGTCCGAAGATACCGTTATATGCTGATCGGACGTCAACTACTACGAACTCGACCATCTAGGTGACTTGGGTATCACCTTGGCCGATTGTGATAAGGAGGTCGATGCAGCCTTCGTGTGTGACGGATTCCCCGGCAAATCTAACTAAGGGTGTTGGACTTTTCTTCTGCTGCGATCTGGTCCATCCAAGCACTAGGTAGGTGGTGAAGGATAGGATATTGGCCAAAACACCCCCATCCATTAGCACCCTTCTGACCTGGACATGGTTGATGAGCGGTGAAATCACCAAGGCATCATTGTGGGGTACGTGAACCCCTTCCAGGTCTGAAGCTGAGAAGTAGATATGGCAGGTCGGCTTCTGCTCCTGAACAGTGCAAACCTCACGCCGACCTTCCCTAACGAGCTTCTTCCTCTTATTTCCGAACGTGCCCTCACTTGGGCCGCCGAAGATGATGTTGATGATCGCAGGTCGGTCATCCCTTCGAGGTGGCGTCCTTGAATGTTTCTTCTCCTCTTTCTTTTCCGTCGAGCTTGAGCCTGGCTTACCAACATATTTTTTGAAGTAGCCATCTTGAATCAAGTCTTCAATCTGGCGCTTCAACTCTAGTAGGCCGTGATCAAGATGAAAATGGCAATACATGTCCTTGTTGCATCTTTCGGAGTCTCCTCTAAGCTTATTAGGCCGCTTGAGAAGCTTTTCCAATCTGTTCTCATTGATATTAGTAAGAATCTCAGAGTTTGGAATGGTAGTTGGGGCGTACCTTTTGTAGGGCCCCCTTAGGTTGGAGTCCGAGTCGAATCTCTTATAGTTAGATCAGTCCTGGGAGGGCTGAGAAGACGATTATTTGTCCTTAGACTTGGAATCAGACTTCCCCTTCTCTTGGTTACCTGACTTTTTCTGGTCGGATCTCTTGTCTGTCCGACCCAGCTTGGGTTTGAGCAATTCTTGCCCATCTATGACCTTCTTGGCTTTTTGTAAGACGTCAGCAAAGGTTGACGGTGCTTCTTCACTTAGTTGGACTGTTAGAGTCTCGTTGGCCAGGCTGGTGAGGAAGTAGCACATGGTCGAATCGTCAAAGCAATGCGCGACCTTAAGCTGCTCCTTTTGGAAGCGGGACACGTATTCCCTCAGGGTCTTGCCTTCCTTCTGTCAAATAGTGGCAAGATGAGTAGCTGTCTTCTTGTTATAGTGGCGAGAAGAGAATTGGCTAATAAACTCTTCTGTACCAGAGCCGAGCACTCCCCATAAGAGCGATCTGGAAAGCTCGGCACCCGATGGCGTCAGATGCCGCTTAGAAGTCCATGAGGCCTTCAAAGACCTCAACATAGTCCTTTGGGTCCTTAGACCCATCATAGGGCTTTATCACAGGCGTTTTGAACATTAGAGGGATTGGAGCCTCCATGACGTCCGAGGTGAATGGCGATTCGCCCATTTCACCGTCATCGAAGGGACTTTCTTTCTTTTCACACTTCACCTTGAGTGCTTCAACTTGCTCGTCAAACCTGTTCTTCATCAGGTCGAACTCTTCCCTCGTTATCCGGACTCCAACGTCAACCGTTTGTACTTTGACTGGGCCTTGAGGCCATAATTAGAGTATTTGTGAGAGCATGATGGAGAAATTCATGGGCCCCGTGAGGCATTCCTCTTCTTGTCCACGAGGTGCTTTCTGAGATCGTGGCTTCGTAGACTGTAGTCGACACCCCATTGTCCGCGATGGGCTCATAGTCATCAGGGTGGAAGGGTAGATCTTGATCATCTCCATCATCCAGCAGGTCATCAACTCCGCCCGGGACATAGGACTGGGATCTAATTCGGTTCACCCACATCATTTTATTGTATGTTTCCTCCATGATGCGCACTCGGTTACGCATGTCATCTAGTTCCCGCTGGAAGGTAGCGAGAACTTCAGGGTCTGCGACTGGTGCAACCCTTCGAGAGGTCTTCTTCGAAATCCCACCTCAACCTCGGTTGGTTCTTGTTGGTCTCGGATGGGTAGGCGGCAGGATCATGTTGGCGTGGTGGGTGGATCTCCGAGGTGGATCTACCTCTTACCCTGCCCTCCCTTGATCCTCAGCCACCTCAGCATTGAGCTCGCGGCTGAGTGTCGTTGTTTCCGTTCAGACATCTCCATTCTGTGGTGTTGGCAGAATCTGCTGGCTGCACCATCTCGGTTTGTTTAAATGTTGGGACGACTTAAATTGTCCTTTCCCACAGACAGCGCCAAATGTTTATGCAATAATTTGCACAACGTACAATTTAGCTCGAACTTGGTCCTCGCTCCGACCTGAAACTCTAAGGGAAGATTGCACAAGAGGGCAAAACCTCTGACGCTCAAGTCAGTAGATTGTTCGGACTCAATATTAAGTTTGAGGAGAAATTTCAAACCTGATGGTGAAATGAGGCCCTCTACTTATGAGTTTAGGTTCCGACAAGGGTCGCGGCAGGCAGTTACCTTGGTCAGATTTGAGGTCGGACGTGTCGGGTTCGAGCATATCGAACTCGGACACGTTCCCTGAAATAGTAAGTTAATCCTTGGAGAAAATGATGAAGAATGATGAAATCTCTCACCTCGAAGGGTTCCGAGATAGACATCCATAGTATGTACTTTTGGGTCTTTCCCCAATAGCAAATCACAGTCCTCCACGTGGCAATAGAGTTATTTCTCCCAAACACATTTCATTCATAGTAACTTATAGAATTTTCAAATAATTAGTATAATTTATTAATATAATTAGTAAGATAGTTTTTCTTTAGTGAGGTTGAAAATATAAAACAAAAAAAAGGGTCTAAATTAGGCAAAATGTATTTTTTTTTTTAATTAAAGTATAAAAATACTTATATATCTTTAATTGTTATGTGAAAAATAGTGTCATTAAAATGTTGTATGAGATAATGCAATGTACATGCACCTAAGAGATTAAGTGAGTGTAATGTGAAAAGTTAGAATGTAAAAAATTTTGTATCCATTTACACAAATTAATTGTAATTAAATATTTATATATAACAATATTTAATGGTAGAATAGGAAGCTTTGGAATGTTAAAAGATTTATAATTTTTTAGTTCTTGGATAATTGCACAAGGTTCAACAAGTGGAAATCATTAACCTCCCATTCTAATACCATGTTAAGGATGAATAAAGCACCACTCAATCCAAAAGCTTAAGTTGATGGATTGGATAAATTTAATTTATATATAAATATTTGATCATAAACTATACAAAGATTTTTCACTCAATCCAAAAGCTTAAGTTGATGGATTGAATAAATTTAATTTATATATAAATATTTGATCATAAACTATACAAAGATTTTTCAAGTAGACATAACTTGTACTCAAGCCCCTTTTGGGAGAAACCTTCAGGGTGTTCCATGTATATTTTCTTCCAAAGTTCCATGTAGAAATGTCATAGTAACATGAAATGGTTCTAGCTACATATTAAATTGAGTAACTATGGAAAGAAAAATTCTTATAGAGGAATGCCTCACTACAGGAGAGTATATTTCATTATAATGTATGCCCTCCTTTTGTGTAAAGTCTTTTACCATGAGCCTAGATTTATATTTGATCCACTTATTTCCTACCAAGATCAACATAAGAAATTGGAGGTCTCATGTTTCTTCTTGTTATGTCTTTTGAAAGTTGACATGAGTTTGGTTCACCTGGTGTAGTTTTTCTTCTTCTACTAGTGAGTTTGTTTGGGGTTCTGTTTCCTTACTCATTTTCTGGTTGTTTTTATTTTCATGCTTCACCTCAATATCGACATTACTGGTGCTTGATCTGACTCCATCATTGTCAATTCCATTTTTTTCTTTAGCCTTTTTCTTAATACACGTTTCTTTGCCTCGGAAAGTTACATCCTTGCTCATAATTCATTTTGAGTGATTCTTCTCATAAATGATAATTTTATACCCTTTCACACCTTTTTGGTAGCCGAGAAACATCCTACAACCCTTGGGTTGAGTTTTCCTTCTTTAACATATGCATATGCTGCATATCCAAACACTCTGTGTTTCAGACTTAGTGGATGTTTTGACCATAATTCCTCAAGTTTTTTCAAGTCAATGGCAGCAAATGGAGATCTATTGATTAAATATGCTGCAGTTATAACTACTTCGCCAGAATTTTCTATTTAGATTAGCACTGTGCAACATACATATCACTCTTTGTAAAAGAGTTCTATTCATCCTCTCTGTAAGTCCATTTTGTTGAGTTATAGCTACTGCTTTGTGCCTCATAATGCATTCCTTTGAGAAGAATTGATTGAACCTATCATTTAAGTACTCAATACTGTTGTCTATCCTCGGCTTCTTTAACTTCTTGTTTGTATGTTGTTGCATGTCCACAACCAACGTGAAAATAAGTGCAAGTATACACTATAATGCTTGATAGTAGTATAACACAAGGTTGAAATTCACACGGACTGAGTATAAAACTCTAAGCATGTCTTCATGGATACAAAAAATGCAAATAAAAGATAATCGATGTTTGTATAACTAAACTAAGTAAAATGCTACAGAAATATAATCCAGTAAAGAAAGTATTGTAATAATAGATGTTAGGGCACACGAAAATAGCAGAAAATCACACATAAATAGAGAAACAATTTATAATGAAATAGTAATTAGGGGGGAATCGCTATGAATGCTCTTGCTCACTCCCAGATAATGTTCTAGCATATTTGAAATTTCGACGGTCCAAACCGACGTAGTTCTCTCCCGGGATACCAAAAAATGCTCATGCCCAACTCCCGTTGTAAAATGAACAAGCTTGAAGAACAGTTTATACGCATGATAGGGTAAAACTTATTCTGAAGTACTCACCATCCTACTTTAAAAGAGTAATCTAGCACAAACAGAGTTTATAAAGGATCAGAAAGACTTTAAGTCACAAGAGAGCTAACAAACTGAAAATTATGGCCAAACACATTTAGTAAGATGGAAACATTAAAGCAACTTTATTAAATCAGCAGTACGATATACTAAAACATCATGTTCGAGAGCTACAACAAGAGACTCCCAACCAAAAATGGGGTTTAGTTCATGAAGAAAAGATAATAAACAATGGGTAAGAAAAAGACGCAACCCATTTGTTGGAGAAGCTTCCCAAAAGTCTTCAGCCTAGTAGAAAACGAAGGTTGCAGCATCTAATCGTCAGCTTCTTCCTCTAAATGGTTGCTGCTCTCCTTGGCTTCAGTACCGTGTTTGGAGTATTTTTCTCTCTTGGGATCTATTCCCCCCTTGGGGATTGATAATAATGAGACAAACATCATCTTATTGCTTTTATTTATCCCTAAAAAATTAGGGCAAAACTTATAAAACACGTGTAGTACGGACATCAGTAAAAATCCTGCGTAAAACTTGTTACTGCACTGTCTTCAAATGCTAGGGCATTAGAGAGGCTCCAATATAGCAAGTTTGGCAAAGCTCCAGCATTCCTAAAACACTCTTCTGCAACACTTTGACACAACATTATTGGGACTTTCTCTACCTTTAAAAAAATTAGAGACTCGTGCAAGCGCACACGGTCACAAGTAATACTTGGGAGTAATCCAAGATCGAATCCTCAGGGACTTCTTGCTTTTCAAAACAGTTTTAATGAAGTGAATGGTTCAAATATACAATTGTGGTTTATCGAGAAAATAGTGATGAAATGTTGCTGTTTGGGGTTTTAAATATTAAGCAATTGAATAAAACTCGACCTATTTGCTTCCTACCTTAGTTTTGATGCAAAACATGGGAAATACATACTGTTGAGAAAATGTGCCAAGCGCAATTCTCTGGCTTTTCTTGGGAAACTGAGTTCTACTTTTTCACTACCGCTTTTGGTTGTCGTAGAGGTTACAGTAACCTACAATCATATGTCTATGTGTGATTACAATCATAGAGAATATTTATCAATTCATTTGCATTATATATGGGTTGATTCTATGTGTGATTACAATCCTAGAGAATATTTATCAACTCATTTGCCTTATATATGGTTCAAAGGGCCTATGTATAAGACCATGTTTTATGCACTTATTTCTAAGTCACATCCCATATTGGTTTTTATCCAACTCACCCTTCTCAGAGTTGGGCTTTAGTGTATAAATCAAATTCTCACTGCCCAAATGGAAAAAAGATGTAAAGAGAATTTTTAGAAACCAACCCGAAAAAGTACAAGGAGTTGATAACTAATTATTTTGACTAAGGCATTCCACAGAGAGGTTGATAACTAATCTAGTGCATGATTAAAGGAAATAAAATGCACGAAAACATAAAGAAAGTAATTTCCAATGAATTAAAACAAATAAATAATTCGTACAAGGAGTTCTAGCTTAACCCTCTTCTCTTTCAAGTGTGAGGGGAGTGTAAACTCGCTCAAGAACTAAAGAAGAACAGAATAAATGAAGAGCAAAAGGTAGAACATGAATTAAAAGCAACACGGTAAACAAAAGTATGAAAGTACAAGAAAATAACAACTAAAACTTATATCTAAAGCATAAGAACGAGTTCTACAACGAAGGACGAAGTAAATGAAGTTGGAAATGAGCTTAGAACACATGATTTGCTACTGAGGGAGAGACTCCTTTTTATAGGATATTGAGTCGGTTGAATTTCCGTCATTTTAGGTGGAAATGGATTGACATCCTAACAAACTTGGACTCACGGTTTAAACTTGATTCAAACATGTAGAAATGACCTCCTTGCCCTTCATTGAATGAAACACACGTTTTGACAAAAGTTGACTCCAAAATTGCGCCAGGCGCAATTTCCCTACAAAATAGATTTTGTGATTTTATCGAACTTTGACCATGTTTTTCTCATATTTTTTTCTAAAGTACCATATATTGCAATTTATCTAGAAAT